AAAGCGGTAATTTGGTTCCCGTAGACGTTTTGGATAAATTGCTATCGAACATATTTGATTGAAGTATATGCAGTAGAATACAAAATAATCCGCCAGAACTCGATTTCACTGGATTCTATATGGGCAAGAATCAGCAGAGAAACTGTAATCCAGCTTAATAAATAAGCAATCTAATAAATCCGTTATGATGACGCTTCGAAACGAGAAAGTTCAAATAAGAGTCTCATAGGCGGATCTGGATCTCCCAAGGAACACGAAATATGTTAACAATCATGATTCTTATCAGCTGCATCTTTCATCAATCCTTTGATTGTTTATGATTGGAAAGTTCCAATAGCTCCCTTTCTAAAGGTCCTGGGAATATTTTGTCGATATTATTTCGCTTTACTTGAGTATCTTGGTGAAATCAATTTCACTAAATTCGATAAGCTGACGCCGCCAATTCGATGCCCATCTGCTGTCGTATACTGGTCATCGCTTATTTACTACGAATCGAAACGCTCGTAGAACGAATCCGCGAAGTTTTTATTGAACCAACTGAATGGCAATTTTTCCTAGTTTTTAAATAAAATGTATTGAGAAAACGACCTTTTTGCAAATCGAAGACGAAAGGTTGGTTTATGCATGAGTAGACCGTACAGGCTAACAAGCAATTTACCAAATTGACAATTATATCGAGCGAACAATTCTCAGACCAGCACAGACAAAGAGAAAAATAAAGATCGGGCCCTTAATCCAAAATAGAATCTATTCGGGCGCAGGGTTTTACGTTACTATGACATATCAAATTAAAACTTATGTAAGGAAGCAGAAATTTCAATTTGAGAAACGTACACCTTACAAAAGCAGAAATTCGGTGTAATATCCAGTCACGTTTAATAAAGAAGGTTTCTAGTTTATTGCGGTACCTATATAAACTGATGCAAATTTCGTGTTTCGAGAAATATTCTTTTTATCATAAACATTTTATATTAGGGGATCGTTGCGGTTAAAGGAGAATATCAACTTTTACGAAGTGGGAGACATATTACATAACTTTGATGGAAATGTACCTTTGCATATAGAAATTGCTTTTTTAAGCTTATACTCTCTTCACAGATAATTTATGCTTTGAGTTTGTGTATTTATATTTTCAAACGATAGGAAGTAATTTAACCCTCTCTTGCAATTTTGTATGTAATCTTTTGCTCATCGCTTCCGGAGTAGACCAATGTAATAATATATAATCTGTCAGTTTTCCGATGTGGAAGATGGAATATATATCCTTCACATGTCTCGGAACACGAGTTAAACAAAAATTGTCAATAATCTCAGTTATTCAGGGCAACCCAATGGACTTATATCGTCAGAAGGCAATTTGTTTTCAATAAAAAAAGATTGATTCATTACTACATGTAACAATCCTATTGAAAATGGATCAAATCTCTGTGGGGTCACAGCTGGGTGCTTTCCACCTTTTTTATATGGGTGCTAGAAGTTTATTATACTCCTTCAAAGTTCTGAAAGCTTTGGATTCTGTTTACGTTCATAGCATCAAGGATAGGACCAACACCAAAGTATCGCAAGGACCTTCAGACGGCTGTCTGTTTTGGTAAATTAGTTCTTCCGCGTTTTAGCTCGCTAAACTCGCCCACTTGTTACCTAAATCTACGACCAAAAGGTTTCCTACGCAAATTAAACCAATGACATTTTGAAAGACTCTGGCAAAAGGTGGGGACACTGAGGCATCCATGCGGCAGATGTGCATCTACTTCGGGTGAAGCTCTCATACCTGTCTCCTGGGAACACACTTTCCAGGCTCTGGGACTACGTAACTTGGGACCCACCAAAAGGATCGGTGCAGGGCCCATTATCAGCTGCTTGGCAACAGTTATATGGAACCGGAGAGGGTGAATCAACATAGGCTAAACAAGGTCCTATCCTTTATTGAAAGTAACGGACTCTGAATCTGGTTGCGAAGGAAAGAAAGTAGGGGTCCGAATATCCTTCCCTAAGGGCAAGGGATGTTTTGTTGAAATTTAACTATAGATGCTTTTATAAAGCAAAACATAGCCATGGGGAAGTACTGATAAATGCATGGAAAATGCGCTAAAGCTACTCGCCTTAGGGTTAAACTTTTTTACTTGTTTCTACTTCGTTATACTTCTATACCAAATAGTCAATCTCTTGTTCTTTCTCTCTATAAAATCTGCCGTCGTATCTTCTTCCTCTTTCAACTTCTCATTTCCTCTTTCTTCGTTTCCGCATTTAAACCTCGCTATTAGTTCGATGTTTTTCCTTTCCTCCCTAGATATTTCGGCACTCTATTATATCAGCTTTTTGAACCTTCTGTTTCCTTCCGAATTCTCGATTTTCTCTCCCTGTTTCTTGCAACTGCATTTATATGTCCCTTTTTGCAAGTTCATCTTCCATCCTTTCCCTTATTTCTCTCCTTTCATCCTCTGCCCATCTGTATCGTTGAAAATATTTTTCCTTGGTTCCTACCGTTTTCCCTTTGGGTTTATCCTCGACTAACATTCTTCTACCAATTCCTTTTTCCCTCTTTTCCTCGAATCTTACCAGCCTACGTTCCAGTTGTATCCATATCATTTTTATTTCCTCTTCTAATATGTAGTTTAGTGCCCAGTATCCCTTTGTACTATCTTCTTTGTATTCCTTCCTTCCTCATCATCGTATCAAACAGGTATTTCCTTGTTCTGAACTTGTTATTGAATTTCCTCTTCCCTATGTCCCGCACCTGTCTCATCGCCATTCTCCCTTTCACAATTCCCTTATTTGTTCATTTGTCCCATTAGTTCGTTGCATTTGGCACCATAAGTATTTACCTCCTCTTACTTCCTGTACTCTTTCATCTCTCCACCTATATTCCATCTCTCTTTTCTTTCCTCCTTCCTTTCCAAATTGCATCATTTTTCGACATTTAATTCCAACAATCTGTTCTCTTCTATTCATCTTTCTAACCTCTCATACATAGTCGTCATTATCGTGATTTCTCTATAATTTTTCCATAGTCTTTGTCACCTCTGTTGTGAATCGGCACTATTGCCCATTCCCTCTATTCTTCCAGCAGTACTCCTTCCCAAATCTTGTCTATTACCTCCTCAGATTCTCCTTGATACTATCCCTGGCAAAATCCCCCCTTTCTTCAGTCTCTCAGCTTTCAAAGTTCCTTCTCTGTTTATTTCTCTGATTTCTTTTTCATCTTTTTTCATTTCATTTTCTTTTGTCCCTCTTTGTGTTTGTCCTCTGTCTCCCCATTTTTTTCTTTTTGCTCTCTCTTCTGTACACTATCTGTCCTAGATTCAAATACAAATTCGTTTTACGCGATGTTACGAATCCTTTTCGCTACAAACGTTTGAATCCCTCGGAATCTGACGTGGATAGACGTTTCCATTGAGTAAATACTCAATGTCGTTGCGAAGTGCAGCAGAAAAAATTAAAACGGTTCTCAAGAGGATGAAAACATGTTATTAGCTTTTTAAAAAACCGACGACTCGATAACAATAAACGTATTGCTTTAAAACTAATAATGGTAGTAGGTAGGTAGAATCAAATGCCAATAACCACATAAAGAATTTTATTATTCGCACTAATAAAATTCTTTATGCTTTTTTTATTGTACGTTTTAGGTTTGACGTCAACAATCAAATGGGAAACTGAAAATTGGAGCTTCCACAGCCGCTAAGCATTATTTTAGTGATAATATAAGATAATTAGGTGAAATCCTTTGTTTTCCAATAGATAAATAAAATTAATAGAAAAATTTAAAAAAAATTAAAATGTCCAGGGAAATTCTCAAAGAAGGGAACTTGTAGAGATTAAAAGAATCATTTTAAGAAATTTATGATATTCTTGCTTCTATATTTTGCATACAAATATGGGAAATTTAACGCATTGCTAGGCGTTTTGAGAAAGTTAAATCTTGCTAACAGTAGTAAAAATTTTGAGGCAATACGAAGGGATGTAGAAATGTACAGAAGGTAGTAATCCCTCACTCCTTTACTTATGTAATGTATAAATTCGGGAAACGCAAGAAGCTAAGATTAGTCGAAATTCTGGAAAAAGTACCTATACATCATTTCGTAACACGAATTTTACGGCACCTAAATAACTTTAGGGAAAATTATAAGAACATTTTGGAACAATAAAGTACAGTTTCAGGGGACGAGGAAAAAGTACTAGGGAAATGCAGAGGAATTTTGTGGAAGTAAGGGAAAAATACGAAGAAATTTTGGAAATAAATTGTTTGTAGCCCTGATGAACTACGATTATTTATTTTATGTAGAAATTTTGGAACGTTTTATTTATTCGTTCTTACTCTACCTTACGCTAAGATCTACAAGATTACTAGTGGTTTTGTACAATAATTATCATTACTTCACTATTAGATAATTAAGAATGAGCCAATAGAAACAAAGGTTTTAATTGTGCATCGCTAACCAATGAAACCATACGTTTGTTTCTATTGGCTATTTCTTAATTATCTAATGATAGTGAACTAATGATTATGATTGTGTAAACCCACCATACCAGTTCAAGTAAAAGTTGGACTTGACTTGAAAATATGAGACTAGTTAACTATCTAGTAAGGGAAAGCGCTGAGAATGTTTAATTAATAAAATGTGACCCAATAAATTATACTAAAATAAATCGATTTTGGGTCGACGGATATTGGTCCCTACCAAGATGTTCCTTTTTTATTGTAACTGAACATTAACAATAAATTCGTGTTTAATAGAATTTCCCCCAGTAAAACTTTTGCATATTACTATAGCTTTCCTCGTTTCTACTATAGTCATGTTTTACAACAACGTAATACATTGTCGAAGTTGGCAACCTCAATCAATTAGATCGGGTAAGCGGTTCCTTTACAAGCTTAATTACATTGTAATGAAGTTAAACCTCAAATATCATTTCTAATGCACAAAGCACTGTAAATAACGTTGCTAACATGCGTTTCACAAACTGGGTCCTAACTAAACAGTTTTTTTTTGTTTCAGATGGAAATTTGGTCAGCGGTAAAGTGGGTTAGTGCCATTTGCAATCTCAGTAGTAAGTCAGCAATACCGAACTCCTTCGAACCCGCTTGAGACTAATCAAACACTGCATGTAATGCAATCACGCACAGACAATAAGGCACTATGAGGCAATCAAAATTTAGCAAAACTAATTAAATAAGAACGCTAAGTGAACCTTCGATAACACGTACATATCAGAAAATGATAATAAATATCTCTTTAAAACGTTTAGAGTGCGCTTAGTTCGCGGTTTCTTTTAACGTCGCGTCGGTTGCAAAAAGTTCATCAATGCCGGCTACAACCATGTTTGCCAAATTTAAAAGTAGTAGCGGTCCACCGCAAAGTCCTCTAGATAACAATCCCATTGGACAGTTTTTCGAAATTGGAAAGCAAGTCGCCAGTGCCGGACCCGAGCTCATTTGGAAAATTCACGACGCCTACAGGAAGAGCGACGGAAAGGTGAGTTTACCCTTGTCTTACTTACTTAGATTAATTCGACGCGGCACGATAAAATGCACGCTTTCCCAGTTATAAATACAATTACACTTTGGAGGAGAAAGTAGAAAACATTTAAACTACGTGCGATATGGAATTACGTGGTGGTAACTCCTCACTTTAGTTAATTGGATTTCGTGGAATTTGGCCATTCGAATTTTGACGCAGGATTACAAATTCTGTTGAAAAGTAAAGGACGTATCTCGAATATGTACTATATTCATTCGAAAAACTTATCACGATTTTCCATTCATGAGGCCCGCACAAGAACGGTGCCATATCGATTTACATTTGTGCTTTCGGGCTTAAAGTAATCTCGGTTATCTAAACATTTCCTACGTGGATATTGGTCGTTGATCGTAAACCTTGGAGTATTTATCCATCCTTTCAAACCAAGCCTTACATTTCCGTTTACAGCATGCTCAGCTGTGCCAAATCACTTGCCATTTCGGTTCAAACTCATTGTTGTTTACTGTCCATTCCACCGTTAATCACCACCTTATTGAAAATAGACCATAAACATCACCAGTGACCAAAATTTCGTACAAGACATTGATACAATTAGTATTGTGGATACAAAGTAAGCCATTATTTGTTTTTGACAGGGAAATGTGTTAGAACATTAGACAAAATTTACAAGTTTTGTCGTTAATCGGAATTAAAAAATCACTTTTTTTGGAAACGGATAATGGATACACTGTTTGTAAAATATTAGGTTTCTATAACCATACAATCCCAACGAAAATTGGCATCCCCTTAAAACCAGCGTCGATTATTCAGTTTTTATGCAGAAATAATTCTTTTAACTTTAACCTTGTGCTATGGCTTGCAACACCCCACACACCACACAACCGTTTAATTTTTTTTAAATAGTACCATTAATTACGGAAAAATCGCCCTTTACGATTTAAACATTTAAAAATTAATAGATAGGTACTTTATGGACGCTTTTTGGCAAACATTTTCTACATTCAGTGTACAGCATATTTTTTCAATTTCTTTCCTTTTTTTATTATTCTCTTCGCCCATTTTCTCCTCTTCCTCCTAGTCTAGTATTTCTTTCCTACTTTCTCTTGTGTTTTCTACCTTCTTACATTCCCATATCAAAAGGTCATTATTTTCCTCTTTCTCTCCACATAGTACGCATTCCCTTGTTTCTTCTTCTCTCCACTTTTCCGTCCCTTTCTCTTCGTTGTCGTATCTGAACGTCATATAATGGAGAGAAATCGGGTCGAAAATGTGGTAAAAATTTTCCGAGCTTTAACAAGTAGGTATGTAGATATTTAAACTCTTTGTGTTACAAAAGCGTATAATAAGACTGATGTTTAACTTAAATTACGCACAAACTTGTAAATACACTTTTAAAAAATTTAATATATTGACTCTACCATGTGTATATATACTAAAATTGGTGTACTACATGCACACACATGTAGATAACTTTAATAGGATAGGAAGCAGACACTCATATAACACAAGAACAAGAGACAAATTCATAATTCAAAAACACAATCATTCATTCTACAAAAAATCTCCCTTTTACAACGCGACAAAACTACCCGAATCTATCACCAACTGCGACATAAAAGAATTCAAGGTAAAAATGAAGGATATACTGCTCCAACATGCGTTTTACTCGGTACAGGATTTTATTAATTTCTTTGTAACATTAAGCTGCTGCAACGCCACCTGTTTTAAACATTTCGTTATTATGTGTACCTATGTATTTATTTATTGACGTATCGATAATTGTTATTCAACAATTCGACGATTAAATGATTGATTGATATTGTAATTTCTGCATAGGAAATGGTGGTTTACGACGTTTTCCTGTGGTTATGACATTTTTTATAGTCATCAGAAAACAACTCAAAAATGCTTGTGTTGTTAGAGATTTACGCACTGATATATCTCGGCCCCTGCATCATGCATGAGACATTTTTATAATGGTTTCACGACTATAATGCCAAATCGTAAGCTCTTCTTCTTATGCATATTGTATTGAAAAGGTCAGAATTGTTATCGAAGTCAATAAATCAAGAATTCTGCAGAAATTTTTTGGTGACAATTTTAGTTATAGATCTTTGTGCACTAATACTAAGGTTTTATGCATCTTTCCTTTCGGAATAATTCAAAATTTTTAAAAGGCATGCCAACTTAACCTAGCACCCTTACAATTGAATCGACTTGAAATCTATGTCACAGTTTTGTGCCTGTTTTGTGCTGATTTGTGCGCCAATGCCCCAGTTTTGTGCGCTTCAGAGAAAATCAAAATGATCAATTGGGGGTCCACCTTAATGCTACACAATGACATGCTCGTATCGACATGATACAAACACCATAGTTTTGTGTTTGCTTTGTGCGCTTTTAGTTTTGTACAAATTTAAAATGTCTACAACGAGAAACACACAGAGTTTGGGCACAAATGAGCATAACATTAGTACAACAATTAGTACGACTTTTTTTGCTGGAATCCGCTATACCATCTCTAGTTGATGTTCCTTTCCTCCCTTAAATATTCGGCACTCCTTCCGTTATTAGCTCCTTGTACTTGATGGGAATTCTCGATTGTCGATCTGGGTGCCTGCTTGTAAGTTCTTCTTCCCCATTTCCCTCCCTCTTTCAACCTCTGCACATCCGTATCCGTTTCTTTCATAATATTTTTTTTCTTTGTTTCCAACATTTTCCTTTTGTGTTCTTCCTCGTTGAAAAAACAATATTTCAACCTCTCTCTCACTCCTTTCCTAGAATCTTACCACCCTGCGTTCCGATTATCCGATCCGATATCCCTGTCTTCTCCATGTTAATTTCCTCCTCTAAGATGATATCCGTTTAGTCCCAGTACGCATTTGTAATACTTTCTTTGTATTCCTTCAGTCCTCTCTTCCCTTTTATCCCCCCATCTCCGTTTTTACTGTAACAAATAGAAGGTACAGTTGAGTGGAAATTCGAGAAGGTGATCCACTCCGGTCAACTGTGTTTAGTATTTCATGCTACCCCTAAAATTAAATTACTTTCTTGCCCAATTCTGTAATTGATACAGAGATACAATTCAATAAATTAAAAGGAACCTCTGCCATTTTGATGGAGTATAATAATATCTAACACTCGCAACCAAATTACTCCACACGTGGCCGAGCAATTATTCCGAAAATACTACTCCCACACGATTTCGCCTACAATCGCATTAGATCTACTGGTTCTCATTTAAAGTTGGAGCTTTCTTAATGTTCCACGCCTTCGGTTTGAAGAGGCGTAAAGACCGAGTAATCAACACTTCAGTTTCCTCTACAAACGCAAAAAATGTAAATCTGCAAATGGGAAATTTAGCTCTACGAGACACCTTCTCGACCGTCGAATTTAGCAACAATATTTATAATGCGATACCGAATTAGATCCGAAATTGTTTTCATAATTCCAATGTTTTGCATTACCATAAATACATATTCAGAAGGGACAGCTAGGACCTATCAGGCGCAATTAATGCGTAAGCGGTTAAAGGCCTCGGTATCAATTAATACTTTATTAGAGGATATTGTTTGTTGTACAATATTCGCCACTTGGCGCTTACCAAATCACGTAACTTATACCATTTTGTCGAACTATTATACCGTCGGCGCACGTAAAGTCGTACCAACACGTAATTTGGAAAATGAAACAATTAAGATCGCCATTTAGACAACGGGCGTTACATTTGCGCTCGTTTTACTCGTTCAGTTAAATTATGGATGAGCACAGCTTGCGTGCATATATTTTCCTAAACGATTTTTTTGCTGTATTTAAATTGTCCCTTAATTTTTGTTATCAAAGGCTTATCGAAATTTCTGGAGTGTTCGCTTTTATTGTAAAAAAAACAAAAGTGGTGTGGATGCATAACCCTCATGTAGTAAATTTAACTAAAAAATTCACGATAATGGTGTGAAATATTTAAAGTTTTCATTTCTATTTTGATCCAAAGTAAAAGAGATCATTTAAATCAGAGTTTTTGCAAACAGTAGTCTGTTACCTATTAGTTTTTTAGCTATATAAACAAGTTCATGTCTCGGAAGCTCTTTTAACTTTTAATTAAAAAAGAAACTGGATTCCCGACCGCTTTTAGTAGTCGCGATCTTTCTTCGCGCACAGCCAAAACCCGACAACTCCTAAAACTCTTCTTCGGATTAATCCCTACCTATGTTTAATTAATAATTAATAAATTAATTAACACCCCACATAGAACTTTGTTAACGAAAACGGCCATCTTTAATCATTGATTCGCTTGCTTCGTTTCTGTCGTACCAATTACATGAGAGCTAGGGCCTAGGCTAGTGCAATAACTTAAAATCGCATGTACGTTGTACTCCAAAACTCCAATTTTTTGGAAAAAAATCAACCCTCTTATTTTGACACCCTGCATACTCTCTATGAAATGTAATGCCGAAACTGCTCTAATATCTAAAATTTCAAAAATTCAACTTGATCTATCTCTATAAACCTCGAAAGAATTCAATCTTGTTAAAAATCTCCTGTTACAATGTGGAAGTGTAATACCAACAGCAAATCTAAGAGACCTAAGTTTACCGAAGTAATGTTTCTTTTTTACGAAACCCACGTATAGCCCTAAAAAAGGAGATGTTCTACCCATTTCTGATTAGGAACATTAATTTTAAACACAGAACAAATTTCGATGTACATTGGGTCCTAAATTTAACCAACAACATTTGTAATTATGTGTGGGTTAACAAAAGAAAAGCTGCTGCATCCAGGACATCTTAAGTGGCAATAAATTACGCGACACTAATAAATAGATTGCGGCTTAAACCGAAATTACATCGAAAAATTGTGCGGATAATGAAGTCTGTTTAACAAAATCTCTTTAATTTAATACGAACTGAGAATACCCAGAGAGGTAAAATAAAATGAAAACAGAAACTCGCGTCTGGATAACGAGCGACGTCTATTACTTTCCATAACCGTCACAACGC